ATCTACAAAGTACCAGTACTTCACTGGAAAGTTGCCCCGCAATGGCCATTTTGTCTGTGGAACTGGCTGAACACCTGGTAACATCTAAAATTTAAGAAGAAAAAAACTTTCCTTGGATCTTCCCAGTGTAGTAAACTCCTTTTCCCTGCGTGCGGAGCCCAGCTGCGGTAAACTCCGCCTTCTCAGTCATGGCGTGCGGAGCCCAGCTGTGATAAGCCCCACCCCTTTTGCTCTGGCTTGTGTGTGCACGTGCAGCCTCCTTTTCTGGAAGGCCGACTTGACGGAGAGCCCTTAAAGGTCCAGGTGTCCCCACCCACACTTGGGTCACCGTGCAACTTGGAAATAAACGTAATGAGAAGCTGATGTGTGTTTGAGCTGCGAGTGAGCGTGAGGTGCTTTTCCTGGAGGCTTTTGGACAAAAGCGAGGTCAGAAATTCCTACTCTAGCCCCCCGCATTGGAAGGGAACCTTAGTGGCTTCAATGCAAGGAGGATATAAGGGTATGTGTAAGAGGCAGCAGGCTGGGATGTCATCCTTAGGTTTCAGTTAAAGTTTAAATAGCTTTACTGGCAGGAACCTTATCTCTGCATACATATTCTAGCTGAAATAATAGTGTTAAAAAAATTAAATGTGAGTACTGCTTGCTGCCATCTCAATCTTTCTGGGTAAACGCTCCAAGCTCTGCATCTTGATCCCACTTATCCCATTTACATACATTATTCATATTTTTTGATATTCCTTTTTTCTTGTATGTGGTTTGGTGCCCCTCCCCCTGCACCAGTGGTTTTGGATCACGCATGTGGAAAGATGTGAAGTTTGATCTTATTGGTACCATAGTCACAGTAATGCCAGAACAAAGAGCTTGTCCACATTAGTCTCATTATATGACACACGGCAGTTGTGTAATTTTCTGGCTGTTGGTCTCCCGCATGCAGCTGGGGTTTTGATGCTGGCCCCATGGAATCTCAGAGACCAGCCAGGATGCAAAGTGGACTGAGTGTGATCTGGAGGATGGTCGCGTCTGAACTTTTCCGCAGCCTGCACATGCACCCCGTCTGGTCTCACTTAAAGCCAGTCCAGGGCACCTTGGTGCTGTTGCGTAGCAAGCGAGGGGCTTCTGTGCGTCAGCTCAGCTCCCGACGAGCTAAACGAAGCCTGGGACATCTGTCACTGGCTGCCTTTCTGAACGTTGTCACTGGTGCTGATGGCAGCAACTGGTGGCACTGGCGCGCCTACTGATGGTGCAGCCGGCTAATTGGGAGAACATGCTGCATGTGCAGATAAGAGAGGGCAGCTCTGGGACGTTTAGCTTACTTAGGGGATCCATGGGCTTTCCATAGTGGTGGAGATTCCAGTCATTGCCTATTCATGGTACTTCCTCCATCTCAAACCCATTCACATCTAATGATAGATCTAGCTATTCAGCCTGGGAGGAAAAGAAAGCATTTCAAACCTCCTGAGATTAAACTGAATTGGACTGGATATTTGGGTTGAAAGGAAATAAGGGGCCTTGAGGCAGTGGGCAGGGTAACTATAATAGAGGTCACAAGGTCATAGTTCTACGTCATCCGGCAGACACTGAGAGACGGAGGAGGAGAGGGAGGTGGACTGGTTTTTACTGGATTGAGATCGTCAACCCACCCTTGTCCTTGCATATTAAAGCTTAAATCGGATGATAATAATTGAGATGTTAACAAGTCTGCACGTGTCGGTATGACGGATTTCTCTTACTTATGTGGGATGTTTTATATCTAAACACAGCCCTTATAAATGTGCTTGGAACAATATGCAAGGTGTCAGTTTTATCACAAAGTGTATATAGTGTACAGAAATGGTAACATTTATGGGATTAATAGATTTCTTTTTGTTTGTTTTTTTCCCCCCCATTATATACAGGTAGACATCTTTACTGAAGCTAGTTTCTTCCTCAAGGACAGAAGGGCAAGTCTTTGTGACTTTGAGTGTGTCCATGACTACAATACCATCCATCCATTTTTTACACCAGCGTGTCCTATGCAGGGTCCCAGTGGTCCGGAGCCTATGCTGGAAGCTATGGGCGCAAGGCAGGGAATTACCCAGGATGCAGCACGACAGGGCACCCCTGACACTATCATTTTTTGTATTGCATTAGATTGGTTTTGGTTTATTTGGGCAGTCGACTGACACCCGGATGAGATGATTACAGTTAAATGAGACCACAGTCTTGTAAATGAGTTTGGGTATTTCACCAGCACTATCTTCACCATCTCAAAACACAAAAATACATGTAGACACTACTTTTACTCTTTCTAGGGGCGTGACCCCCTTTCCATTTAGTTCTGCTTTTATGTTTTTGAAATGCATTTTGAGAAATGTGGGTGTGTGTGGGAGGCTTTGTTTTCTGATGGTTGTGCGCACACGCGTGCATGTGTGTGTGTGTGTGTGCATGTGCGTGTGTGTGTGTGTGCGCGCGCGTCTTCTGGAGGTATATCAGCACATACCACGAGTTGGCTTTATACCATCCCCTCTGTCTCTCGTCTTCCTTCCTCTCTGCGCGTTCACTGGCATTCTTTGAATGCAGTGCTGAGAAATGCACCTTCCGGTGCCCTGAGCTGAAATGCTGGGTGTGGGATCGAGAGAAAGCGACAGCAAAGGGGATCCCCTGATCAAACTGCCGTGACGTGGGCGACGAAATTCGATGAAATTTCACCGGGAAACTCCTTTGGGGTGGTGGAGAGAAGCCGAGTCCCCATAATGAACAGCATGGTGTCAGGAAAATTGTCGACCGCTTCTTGGCGGGAGGGGAATCAACTGCAAACTGGCAAGTCTGATACAGAACTGGACATGATTAACGCTGTGCAGGAAATCTGTGGAAAAGGATGGGGGGGGAGGGTGTCACACCTTATGTTGGTGTAGCTTTACAATGGGGGGGTCTGACTTTTTGACATCTTTTTTTTTTCTTTTTTTTTCTGGGTTTTGGGGACGATGCATGAAAATGAGAAAAGTGGAAGGGTTTCAAGTCGGTTTCAGTGAATGTGGCCAGCCAAGAGTTTCGGTAATTAAACCTGGACCGGCAGCTGAAAGGAAATGATAGCGAAGTCGAGTTTACGGGAAAGCGCGCTTGAAGAATGGTCACAGCGAAGCACGTTCCATTTCGTTTCCTCCCACAGCTGTGACATCATTCACGATATTGACGGTTAAATTTATGGATATGGGCCATTGTGCCCATTCCTGGGGGTGCGTGTGGGCTGGGGGTGCGTGCACCTGCCCCTTTCGCCCAAATGAATGAAAGTGCCCCCCTCCTAGCATGAAAAAGTCATTGCGTATCACTGGGTGTTTTCCATGTGTTGCTGCCCCCCCACACAATAACTAGCCTGGATGTGTCAAAAGTGCCACTACTCGACATGAAATGAGGAGATAACTCCACTGACATCCTGTTGCATAACCCTGATTATAACAGCCCATCTCCCACCACAGACCTGGCTTCAGATTGTGACGTATTGACTGCTCACTGAAAAACTGAGGGCGTCTCCCCAACTGCGGCTCCGCCGTGCGTCTGCGTTGCTGCTCATTCTCTCATTCCACATGTCATCGTCTTCCTGCTTTTTCTTTCATAGATTTCCCCTGTCGATCTTTGGTCTTGTTGACGCAGAGGCCAATTACGATGATTAAGAGAATGTGTCGTCTTGCTAGCCCACATAGCGCACAAAGTCCTATCCTCGCTCCCGCCCCCCTCCTCCCCTTTCCAAGGTCACTAGGTCATATCAGTCTTCCTCACCACCATGGCTCTTGCCTCCATGCGTCTTACTTCTTTAATGCTCAATCAATCCTTGCCTCACATCTTACTTTTCATTGTTCGGTGAAGATGTTACACCTGCACTAGTAATTCAGAGAGTAGAGAGTAACAGTTGCTGACAAGTGGTCACTTATATCCTTGCTAAGGGGCAGAACGGGAGCCAAAGATTCCTTGTAGTTTGCATGCAGGCACCAGTCTGTGTACGAGCTTGAGGAAAAAATATGGTGATGGCTCTCCGACTCGAGGCCTGGGATGACATCAGGCTTCCATAACTCTATGACGTTCTTCCCGAAGGTCTGCGGGTGTCAGAGAGACACGGATGTGGATGGAGAGCAGAATCTTTGCACCATTAAATCTCACCTTTTGGATTATTCATGTCATCAATAGTTAATTGCGTAAGAAAAGCTTTTTCTTCTGGGTGAACTACAACGGACCGCATTGTAGAGAACTTCAGAGGCTCTGGGTTTGGGGCATTTAGATGACCTTCGCTGACACCTCTGCTCTTCGATTTAATTCCCCAGCCTGGCTTATTTTAAAATCCCCGTGACCTGGAATCTCCTGTCCACGTGATTGTTTGTTTGTTTGGTACAGAGGGAGACCCAAAATAAAACTCGGTCTGGGGATGGCCATGTGGATCTCAAGAAGATGGAAATAACTAAACCCTGAAAATCCCCTTGGGGGAAGGCGGGGGGTCGGTTTCAGAATGTCCTCCTACACGTCACTGTGCCTCAGAAAAATGGAGTGGAGTAACGCAATGCTTCGTGTGTGAGTGTATTTCGGTGAATGGACCCAAGGAGGAGACTGAGCCCTGGCCTGACTGAACTATGTGCTGAAGCACTGAAATAGCCCCTCACTGGGGGGATTAGTGTTGGATTTAGTGCACTTTCATTGGCCTCGTTCAGCTGCATGGCTGGCTTCTATCAATTAGCAGCAGTCACGACTCTGCTTGGTCTGCTGTCAGTGCTGTTTCCCCAAAGGGTTTTAGGCGGTTTCCTCGCACTGGGAGTTTAGCTTCTGCTATACTCTTAACACTGTTCCTTTTAAATTCATTACTCTTGTCCTCGTTCAAATGGAACTTGAAAAATATTGCGATTCCTTGAATTTTAAATGTGAGCGCGGGGAACATAATGGCTGGAGAACAGGTGTGCGTGTATCGTGTCTCGTGTCTTGTGTCTCGTGTCTCGTGTGGTGGTTCTGGTAGTAACAGTCTGTCCCCTTACCTGTAGGTGCCCGGCTCTGTGAAGAGGACGCTGGATATGGCTGACAGCCCCTGCAGTCCTGCAGATCGAGGGGGTGCCAAGCGGCCGTGTCTACAGGATGTCACTCTGGCTATGGAGCCCAGCTATGAAAACCCCTGCTTACCTGCCGGTCCCAGGGTGAGAGATCGTGGCCGACCCTCACAGGGTGGCAATATGGATTTGCCCTACTCTATGCCAGCCAAAGTCGGTCTCGGACTCCCGGTGAACATGTCTGTGGGCGCGACGCCTTCGTGCGTGCCCCCGCCTTCTGTCGAGCAGGAGCTGCAGGACATCCTGGAGGAGCTAACAAGGAACCCAAACCGCTCCCTTCCTGAACTGGACTTGGAGAAGATCCTGGGGAGCAAAGGGGACGATTTGTTGGGCAGTGAAGGGGCATTTGTGCACCCCGTGGGTGATGGCACCCCCAAGCGTTCCCCCCAAGGTGCCTCGCCTCTGGAGAGTCCACGCATCCAATCGGCAGGTTTCATCCGGGCTCCTGCTACCAGCTCCCCCAAGTTAACGCCCAGTCAGCCAGGTGCTCCCTTCTCCCTGACCCACCCAGCCAAGCCCCTCTCGCAGCCCCAATCCCCTGCCTGCTCTCCTATGTCATCACCAGCTCACTGCAACCTGCCTAATTCAAGATGGCACGAGGTCCCTCATGCTCAGCAGCTACAGGCCGCACCGTACCAATCCGACAAGCTGGCCAGCCCTGCCCTAGTCCCGCCCCCGTTTACTCCCCAGAATTCCCAGGCTTCCTTACTGCCTGGCACGGTTCCCTCCTCAGGCCAGCAGCAGTCTGCCACTCATGGCTTCGGCCCCCACTGCAGGGGGGGCAGCCAGCTGTTAAAGGCAGCCATGCGGGTAGGACAGAGTGCCAGCGCTGGGGGCGCCGAGCCGTACTCCTTCAATAACACCACGCCCCTTCGGCACTTCGACCCAGACCCGTCCATTCCCAGACCAGGTCATGTGATGCCGGGACAGGGCTCCTCTGGTCACTATGGCACCCCGAATCTGCAGCTGCTGCCACCTGCTGGCCCGGCAGTCAACACACCAACGTTGCCTCTGCAGCAAGGACAGAGAAGCCTGGAGCCAGGAGGAGCAGCGCCCTGCATCCGAGGGGTAAGCACTGCCAGACTGCCGATGAATGATACTAGTGTCTTCAGACAAGAGCCCTCCAATCATTTAGACCAAGCAATCAGCCTTTCTACCATTGTTGTTCCTTGATAGGTTACAATACACCTATTCTTTTAGCTGGTTCCTTGATGTGTGAGTTTGTTCAAATGTTTTGGTTTTATAGAAGAGGAGATTGGAGGCCCACCACTTTCTTTTTTCTTTTGTTTAAGAAATATCCAATAATGGGAAGCTATTCATTAGCACACGCTTAGAAATATCCTTTTGTCAGTCCTAATGACATTCTAGGTCATATGTTGACATTTAGTTTTTTTTGTTTGTTTTTGTGTTTCTGTTTGTGTTTTAGTTTTTTTTTTCCAAGTCTGAGTTTCTGTTTCGGTCAGCCCAACTCCCTCACTCTGCTCTGGTTTAATCATACAGGTACTGCCATTTCCTGACCGTGTGGAATTTATTCTTAATAATTTTGGTTCTCTTTTCCAAACACCAACCAGTGCCACTGCTGCTCTTGCAGCTGGGGGGGGGACGGGACGGGGGGTTTTCATTTAACAGCGTCAGAGGCGCTGCTCTGAAAGTGAGGCAAACGGAAGCACGTTGACCGCGACGTCTACGCGCGCGGGATCAGAAGCGGCGAGCGCTGACATGCGCACCTGTACTCGCACGGATGGGGATGTTTGTACTGGCATGCTGTCGTGCACTAGGGCAGATGCGCACTTTGCCGTAATGTGTGTGCTTGGCAATGCACAAGTGTGGCGGCCCGTCCATCCGTGGCGCTATTCTGTCTTCTCACCATGGGGATCTCCTAGTGTGGAAATGTTACATTAAGTTTGACAACTTTCAATTCTCCAAGGTGAACTCACTTCTTTCTCTCACACTTTATTCTCAGAAATTCTATGTCCACAACCCAACCAAACATAGAGTTTGCGTGTGTTTTATGCAGGGGTGGATAGAGGGGCGGGGCCACAAGTGGCATTGGCCCCAGCTGAAGGCTGATTGGCCCCCCAGTGCCCTCTCAACCTGCCACTCACTGATTCATAAGATATCATTGGTTAATGGTAAAGGTGGCCCCTCTGTATGAATTATGACCCCTCTTATGCCCCTCACCTTATCTGTCAAGCTGTCTAATGAAAACCCCCGTTACAATCTGTTAGGTATGAGCACAGAGCTTTTATGACCTTTGCAATTGTCCCTGTCCCTCTGTAAACTGTTACATGGGCTTTTTTCTAAGAGATGGATCTGAGCCAGTGGATGTTCTGGAGGAAACCTGACAGGAAGAGGGTTTGCTGGGGAGCCGTTGAGGCGGCAGCTGTGCATACGGCATGTGTGAGTCACTCCGGCAGGGTACGGAAGTGCAGCCTGTGTTCAGGCCTGGACACGGACCGGTGGTGAACGCAGACCCACATTAGCTCGGCCTCTTGTTGACTTTTTACTACTCTTCCCTTTTTTCTGGAGGCTGGAAAATGCAGTGAAGCAGAGTGCAAACACACTCTGCCCCCTTCCCTGCATATTTCCCCTTCCAGATGTGTCTCTGGCCAGAAACCACTGCTGCCACATGAAGTCAAAAATTAAACTTGTTTGCATTTCTTAACTGAACTGCATTTTCAGATTAGGGAAACAACAAATTGTGTCTGTGTATGTGTGTTTGTGGATTATGTTTATATTACATTCTGGGAACCAAATGTCCCCCACAATGTGATTAAAAACCATAGTTTTCCCCATAGAGATGAATGAAGAGTCCCCAGAAAGATATAATTACAAGCCTGCATGTGTGTGTGTGTGTGTGTGTGTGTGTTGGGGTGGGGGGTGTTATTCAGCTATTTTAATACTGGCAGCTATTTTGGTCCTTAGGAATTAGGGACAAATCCCGTAGGAAATGCTCCTGCTCCCCTGAACTATCAATCTAGTTTCCAGCCAGTCTGCTGGCACCTCCTCCAGAGAAAGGAGGAGACGCGGCCAGAAGAAAACGGCCCCAGTGTCTCTCCTTCCTGGAGAGAAGGTCAGCGCGAGGGGGGAAGCACGCACACACACATACACACACATGCGCGCGCATGTAGGGTAAACATACACACACACGCGCGCACACACACACACGCACACACACCGACAAATGCACGTGCAAACACACACACATACGCAATTACATTTATAACACTCTGGGGACTCTGGAGGAGGTGCATGGTGAGAGGAAGGTCTGGGCATCCTTGCTTAGACTAATGATAAGTGGCAGAAAATGGATGGATGGATGTATGGATGGATGGATGGATGGATGGATGGACTCTCCATTTATTTCTATGGGAAAAACTCTAATCCCAACAATAACAGCCTTAACCCCTAAGCCCTAAACTTAACCATAAATAAGCAAACAAAATACAAGACTTTGCCAGTTTTAATTTTTGATTGCATTCAGTTTTTTTTTTTTTTTAAATAAAATAGAGTTTTCTCTTGCAGGGACCAGAAAAAATGTCCCCACAAGGTAAAAAGTATCAGGATTTTATTACGCAGTGGGGGCATTAGGTCCCCTCAGTGTATTATACACAAAACCACACACACAGGTTCACACATGCACACACACGCACTCTGGCTTGGTGTGTTTCTCGTCTTTCCAGAGTTTCTTTGCCAAAGCCATGGCAACAATATGCTGGAATAAACAGGTCCCTGAGAGAGCCAAATTCCCTATTCCCAGCTCCCGATCATTGGTGTTGGCTCATATTTGATCCCGTTACTCCGTCTTGGAGGGCTGGGGGCGAAGGAGAAGCGATGGTTTAGAAGCAGGGCAAAGGCTGGGTTTGTCTCAAGGATAAACTGTACTGGAGGTCACATTCTAAGCATTATTTGGCCTACGAGTGGTAAGCCAAGACTCTCCCAAGGAAAGTTCAAGAGACATAGCATGAGACATGACCATGTCCTGTCCAACCAATCCCTCATTGGCCACTCTTCTTTCCAACTAGTCCCTCATTGGCCTCTGCTACTTTACTATTAATTCCTGGTTTTGTATTCTGCCCTGCGATCCTGAGCAGAATAACCCGTTATTAAATGGGCGGGTGTATTTTGCATTTTGTAATAATTGCCCTGTGTATATCTGGCAAGTAAGAATTTCACAATAAATAAACATCTCAATAATATAGCTAGGACTTTGTATCGTTAAATCTTCCACGAGAACTCATTAATGTTGTGTTTCTGCTACAAGTTATTTCTTAATTAATCTTAATTATATGTTATCAGGATCTTATTGTTCTTATCAGTGATTTCACAAGGGTGTTAGTTGTTGTAATTTAGAGTTAGGCATTCATTTTGATCCCTTACCCTGAAGCCATGTCTAGGCTATGACGACTCTGAAAGCGTAAAATATGGGTAAGCAACTATCCGAAAGATAGCTGATCCCACAGTGCAAAAATGCATTGTCTTACCGAACGTATTAATAAATGTCACCATGCCACCAGCAGGTAACCTAGAAAATCAATGGGATTATCATCGGATGGTATTATGACAGTGTTTGGATGATTAATTGCTAGGTTCTGCCTCCTGATCTTGTAAGAGAAGACTGGAGAGTAGAATGCAAGACGAGTATAAAATGGCAGCATTTATGAGAATAGATGAACAGTCATTAGACATTTAAACATAAATGTATTGTTGTTCTCCGGCTTCCGTGGCATTAAAGGTAATTCAGGCAGGATTAGCACGAGTGATACTGCTGGCTTTGCTCCTCTCACCTAAACGTGAGCCATCGAGCAGATAGACTGTGGCAGGTATTGATGGGATTTCAATTTCTGTGCCTTGCTTGGATTGTTTTCCGCAAGATTAGACCAAGGAAATGACATTTTCTGCAGAAGAGTGTTGGGTCTGCAGAGTGAAAGGGTCACGAATGGTGGTAGCATGTCACCTTAACCCCCCTGCCAGACTTAAATTGTATTTTTGAATTTTATGCATTCAAAGGACCCTGTAAAATATTAGACCCCTTGAATCTGCCAGGGTATCCATACCCCTACTGCACCCCTGGGTATGTGTGGCCTAACTGCAGTAAACAGGAAGTCCAGAATATTTCATGGCTCAGTAAGAAATCATCATACTCGAGTATTATAGTCTGAGAGAATAGTAATTTTAAGAGATTGTTAGTCAGGAATGCTACTACCTGACAAATTTAAATATATTAAGCGTTGCCGTTTTGACACCCTAAACATAAGTTAAAATAATGACTGAAACGGAAGATAGATAGATTTCCAATAAGTTGTGCGTGTCATGGTGGGAGAGAATTGTTTTTTATTCTCTCCATGCTGACAGGATCGTTGACATCGCCTTTTCTTATCTCGGCAGCATAGCTATATTTATCGTTAATGTCTCTATTATTCTTGCTCGGTGGGGGCAGATACCTGTTATGCTCGATATCAGCATGCTCTAATTTTATTTTATTAGCATTTAAAATTCTCTGAAGTATTAGACCTAGTCACACAGCAACCTTTACAAAATGATTAGGCAATTATGAAAAAAGGGAAGATGATAACGCACGTCTTTAAGGGCTTTATACCACGACGCCAGTTGTAGTTGCTAAAATCGTAAAAATGTAAAAGGTTTAGCGGTGAAACACGCTAATGCAGGCGACAAAAAGCGGGAAATACCATCGGTTTTCACTTTGGTTTCTAAACCCATGTCGCACCTGATTTAACAGAACGATTTAAAAATCCAGAAAGTGTAAACGAGGCAATGGAAAGTGAAGCGTAGACTGGGCTCACGAGAGCCCCCTAGTGGGCAATTCAGGAATCGCGTGATATCCTCTTGTGAAAAGGGCGTGAAAAGCGAACAAAGGCTCACATTTACGGGTTATAGCTGCCGGTGCAAACGACGACAAAGAAGCGATGAGGAAACTGTGCTCTTCCAGACACGCCGCCCGGTTTTTGTATATAGGCTGGCCCGGGAATACCATGGTGTGAGAGGGTTTCATTGTGTGTTTGTAGTTTTTGCATCCAGTGTATGTGAAAGCGAGCCCTTGGCAGCAGCAGATATAAGGAAAAAGTAGCCAAGCTTAATTTCATGCCACTGGTTTAATGTTTAAGAGTTTTAAGCACTGACTCTGGTGTGTGGGCCCAATGGAAAAAGAACTTTCTGTGCAATTTGTGGATAAAGAGGAGAGAATTAAATGATATGATGGATCAGTTTTTCCCAACCTAGTCCTCAGGGACCCCAAGAGAATCCTACTGGGAGCTGGGAGGGAGCAAAAATGTGGACTCTTTGGGAGTCCCCTAGGACTGGGTTGGGAAACACTGTCTTAAATTACATCCCTGCTTCAATCAAATGAGTAGAGTTTCCAGTGACTGTGTAGCTCGTTTGGCTGGTGTTACGTTTCAGGCTCTTATTTTAAAACACATTTAGCCTCCGATGCTCCCCTGACACCTGACATACCTCCTGTGTAGCGTCTCCATGATGAACGCTGATTCATCCGATGATTTTGTCAGACTTATAAGCAGCTGGGCAGTAGGCTACGTCTTGCGTGCATTTTCTCAGCAGACGGCTTCATCCAGAGTGACACGAATGTGGATCAGAGACCAGGGTCAGCCAGGGTCCCTGGAGCAATGGGGATGAAGGGCCTTGCTGAAGGGCCCAACAGTGGTATCTTTGGCAGCAACGGGACTTGACCCCATAACCTTATGGAGATGGGCGTGGAGCCCTGAACCTGGTGTGTGATTTGTGATATCTGATAGGTCAGGAAAGAGAGTAGCTACATGAACAGTCTGCCGCTCTTACACCTGGCGATACCATCCGCTGATCTTTGTGTATAGAATCGCTAGCTGAGGATTCCGTTTTAAGGGAAATTGAACCATAATATAGAACAGACCTAACTGACTGAATTACACCCAAACAATATGCCTTTGGGCAGCAGTTTGCTTGGTGGCCAACATGTACCCTGGAGATTACTAGCAGCAGCAGGACTAGTGTCTGTTTCTGTACTAAATTAGAACCTGAATTTCTCATATTTAAATAAAAATACATAGGGATTGATGTTGATGTTTTCATATGTTGATAGCACTTTGGTAAACCAGGATTCCTGGAGCGATAAGCACAGGGGGGATACTGGGCCGTAAAGTAGAAGGAGGATGTTCTGCTTCAGGGCTCTTATTTGAGGGGCCTCTTCTGGGTCTCGGTGCTGACAGTTTGCAAGGATGTGTTTTTCATTATTTATCTGGCATCTTGCACTCATATAATCTTTAACCTTTTCTGTTTTCTTTTGCATTCAACACGTCAGCCATTTTTCCTGAAGACTTTTTTTTTTATACAAGTAAATCACATAGGCCATTGTTTCCACCATAGTGACTGATAATATGCTTATTCTTAATATAACTAACCTTTTCATTTTATCACAGGACCAGAATAATGGGGGAGGAGGCAGATTCCAAGACCCCACCTCGCTAAGACGGCCCACGCAGGGGGATGGGTACAGTCTTCTGAAAAGCCAGCTGAGGAAGCAGCTCATGCAACAGGTCTGTCTGTCTCTCTGTCACACCTCTACCCGTCTAGCTAAAGACGTTAGATATATTTCGTCCCCTTGTAAATCTCTAGAGGCAGATCTGTGGTAGTGAGTCAAAGAGTTTTTGATGTGCGGTGTTTCGCAATGTGCATTTTATTGACTTGCAGGAGAAGCAGAGACACACTGAGCAGATGAGCGCTGGCCTCTTGTCGGACTGCCAGCAAGTCACACCATTTCAAGGTGAGCTCTGCTTGACACGGAATTATTTCATTCATTTTTCCTATTTCCTTACTGCAATTGTTTTTTTAAATCCACTTTATATCCGTATACCTGCTACTGGACTTAATGAACAAAAAAAAAAAGTCTAAATCTAAAGCCTGAATTAAGCTTTTGTGTCAAGCCGCCATGAGCACCACAAGTGACCTACGGCATCACCAGCGTTTGTACTTGTCGCTGTGTTTGTGTCGCTCTGCAATTACACCATCAAAACGCTAGGCGATGCATAGTTTCGGATGTTGCATTTATTGTCTTCCCACCATGGGACATACTTAAAATACTACAAAAGTATCAATTAGCCTTAAGTGTTAAAGAGAGTTGGGTTGGTAAGAGGGAAGCTGTGGATCAGATGCATTCGGCAAAGAAATGACGGTAGGCATCAGAAGGTGCCTGAATGCCATTTCACCCTCCTTTCGTGGGGAAGGAGAAGTTGATACAGTGTCTGCTTCCTCTCTAGGTGTGAGCCGATCACGAGCTCCAGGCCTTGGCTATCCTATGGAGCCATCTGATCCTACTGTGGTCTCCCACAATGCAATGCTGCCTGGCCGGATGGTACCTGAGGGTTCTCATGCCCAAACCAATCATTCCATGGCGACCTTTGTTGCTAGCATGGGCACTAAGCAAGCTGCCGGTCACCCCCCCAGAGAATTTGGGACGCCTGTACGGCCGGGCCAGGCCATGATGGGATTGAACACACCACCTCAACAGATCGCCTCGCATTGTCAGACCTCTGGTCGAGCCCAGATTCTGGGGCCCTCCTTCAATGGCAGATCCATGCAGCCCCCCATGCCACAGCAGCAGCTCCCCAGAGCGCCTACGCTCCAGGGAGGCTCCGCCCCCTGCGGAGTGTTAGGTCCCCAGCAGCAGCCATGCGTTCGGCCCCTATGGCAGCAGCAGCAACAGGGATGCCCACGCACTGTCTGCAGCAGTCACATGGATCCTGGGTCGCATCAACACTTATATTCAGCAGGAGGCGCTGCGGTGAGCGGGACTCCATTCTCGCCGCAGTCCCTGCGTCCCGGCATGCCCTCCGTCCCACACCAAAACGGGCCCTTTAGCCTCTCCCAGGTGCCCAATAGGCAGGCCAGACACCCTTCCTCTAGTGACCAACATGGCCCGGGGCCGCGGGGCCTTATGTCCCCCATGGGTGCGATGAAGCCATGTCCCTCCCTTGCATTGGCTCCCCTGGGTTGCCCCTCCACCCCTAGCTTGGGCTACAGCAATGGTAGCTCAGGATGCAAACTTCGTCCTTATGAATTCCCCCATCCCCCAGGCACCTTAGCACAGGGGTCGAACGGCAGGTATGGGATGCACAGGGATGAAGCCAACAAAGTGGACTTCATAGATATGCTGGTGGGCTCCAGTGACAACTGGCTGAACAATTTCAACATGATTGACAAATACCTGGAGCAAAATACCTAAATACCTAATCTGTTAATCTGTTATCAGGACATTGTTTTTTTTTTTGTTTTTTTTTGTTTTTTTTGGGGGGGGGGGGGGGGGGGTTTTACCCCGGAACGAAATCAAAAAAAGGGGCTCCTACTGGTAGATTCTAGCCGGGCCTGATTGGGAATGATGGCCACATACTTCAGCAGCATATGTTCCACCACAGAAGAGTAAGTTATGTAATGTAAACTCCCAGGTTCTGTCTCGGCTGATTAAATACAAGCTTTACACAATGGTGTAGCACTGTAATAAGGTTTTCTGTGTATATGATGTTAAAGAGACTTCATTATATTACATATTGTCCAAATGTATGTTCGTGCTGGTGGCGGGGGGTGCCGGGGCTGGTGCAACTGGGCTCAGATTGGGGGAGTGCTTTGTGTCCCTGCTTCTCCTCCTTCTAAGTGTTCACAGAATTCACTTGGCTTGACTTGGTTTAAGACTCCCACGATTTCCCCTCAGATACCAGCCGGCGAACAGTAAAGGCCTGGTTCTGTTCATATGGACGGTGGTTGTCCATCACTGTTTTCTTTCCTTAAGAGTTGCACAAGGGGCTTGAACAAAGTACACTTCATAAGCATTTTTCTAAGGTGTATTCAGATTGCGAAACAAACATTCACACTTTTTTCTCAGCACAGTTTTTGTATATAAAATGAAATAAATCATTGTCATAAACTGTTGAACTATAGCTGGTGACAGTTTCTTTAACAGGTAGCGAATCTAATTTAATTTGTTAATATGCTGACAATTTGTTGTCCAATAATACTATGTATTAGAATATTTACCTATTTATGTGTTTTACATAATAATAGCTTCTGTGACTGGAGTCTTAAATTTAAGACCCAGCAAAATCAGGGGAGGGAATTTTAATGATCACAATCTTCATGTGAAAATAGCATCATTTCTCTCACCTCATCTGGTCTAGACATGAGTCAAAGATCAAAGTCTTTTGAAAGAAAACAACTGCTGGTAGAGACAGTTCCCTAATGTCCATGCTGGTGCATGTGTCTGATTGGTGCTTTATGCCAAATATTTCAGTATTTTTTTTCTCACATATCTGATAGAACTTAACAAAATCCATTAGCAGAAATGACTTAAAAAAAAAACAAATCATGATCAGTCCAAATTTGCAAGAAGCAGTTAATCAAGATCAACAAACCATAAATACACAAAACTGAAAGCATCAGTGTTCTGTCAGTCAAAAAACGTTTGCTTTAAAAGGCAAAAACTGGAGCTGAGGGTTACATTTGGGCCATTGTCACTGTAACCATGGACAGTATTGCTGTTGTCCTCCAAGGACCACAGATCAGCTGCCTGCTGTGGGTAATGCTGTATCCATAGATGTCTACGCTATATTCACCTTGTTTTTAGCAGTTAAACTATCTCTGTTACATGAAGTCAATGACATTTGTCAAATATTTGTAATGCGTTTCATTAATCTTCACGTTTTTAGATTTTACAAATAAAACTGAATGAAAGAAGGGTTGTTTTCTTGAATATGCAGGTTCTTTGCAGCCATCTCAACACATAACTTACATTCTTTGCTATTGTGTCTTGTACATAACTGAATGATAGTGTTGTTGCCTACTGGTTCAATGGGTGGCTTTGGGTGACTGCAGCTAATACCTTTACAGTATGTTACACTGTACTTTGAAGGGTTAATTTCTGGGAGTTTCTACAAACATATTTATTTAATCTATAAACAACAAATGTAAAAGATAATTGTCATTCCAAAGATGTATTACAACCCATCTTGCAGTCCTCTCTTGGCTCTCTGACCTTGGAAGGGAGTCTCGTGTACTGACTTCACCATCTGTTTCTCCTCAATTTGACGTCAAAGGCTGCGGACGCACAGATGCATGCAGGCGCACACACACAGAGCTTCTTGAGGAGGTGAAAGTGAGCAGTGAATGCTGCCAGACTTGACAGAATGCTGACACTAAAGATGCAAAAATATGTTTGGCAAGCAGTCAGAGGGGTGTTAACTTTATAAATCGTGTATGTATGCTATATGGTGAGCTTGCTTACCATGTAGAGCCTAGGCATGGCTGTTTAATTGACGTTTTCTGCTTTGTGATCAAAGAACACAAGTCCGAGGATTCCAGACAGATCATATTTTATGCCTTTGATGGCTTTACGCTGCTGTGGGATCGCCAGTCATTGGCTGAATGCACACTATAGAATCCTCACAACCCTAAATAATAAAGACGTATAAATGATTAAATACTAAAACATAAAATAAATTCAAAGACTGAAATGTGCATTGGCAAGCTACAGCAATGACTGGTGAGAAGGGCTTTGGGAAAAATATCTAAATAATTTTGTAAGGCTGTGATGAATAAAATTAGTCTGACTTTCAGTGGGAAACGTGATTGATGCTTGAGTGCAACGAAAATGGCACAGAAAGTGTTTCCGGGGTTCGGTCAATTAAAACACAGCTAAAATGTCAAAACAGCAACATTCATCTGACTCTAACTATGTAATGGTCAGTTGCTCCATACTTTGTTCAATAACAATCAAAAACACGTGAGAAAGAATGAAAAAACAAGTCTCTTTTGGACAGATGATGTGTAATATCAGATTGGGAAATGTATGAAGAAACTGTGTGTGATTTATAAATTAGACTGAATTGCTTTTACAAGGCACCGCTTGCCTCTGTCATATTCAGCACTAAATTTCCAGCTGTCTTGTCAGTCCCAAGTTTAAAGGCCCAAAGGTGATGTGATTATTTGCCAGCAATGTGATTTGACCTACAACCTTCAGGACACAGGAGCAGAATCTGATGAGCAACACCACAAATATATAGGGGGAAAAATGGCTATGCTGTGTTAGACTGATCGAGTTGTTCCAGTGGACTAAGGATTCCCATTTGTGGATTATGTTGCCACCCCATTCTGGGATATTCCCTGCATTGAGCCCATAGTTATAGTGATAAGATCCAGACCCCCGTGACCCTGCATAGGATTAGAAGGTACACAAAACGAATGGCTGGAGGGATTTGTGTATCATGTACTAAAAACAAACATGTGAAGACAAAAAGACATAAAAATCCTGCGGAAAATCCTGGGGAAGTGAGGAGTCTAAATAAAACCAGTTTTGCTCTTTTTGAATGATCTTTATTACTAAAATATACATTTGATTTGTATAAACATGAGTAAATATGAATAAAACATACTTTGTATTCCTTGCATTTTTATGCAGTACAATTAACACAATTATACGAATATATGTAGGCCTAAAATACACTCACCTAAAGGATTATTAGGAACACCTGTTCAATTTCTCATTAATGGAATTATCTAATCAACCAATCACATGGCAGTTGCTTCAATGCATTTAGGGGTGTGGTCCTGGTCAAGACAATCTCCTGAACTCCA